AAAAGAATTGATAATTCAATAGACAACAGCATACTAGTCAGGTATTGCTGTAAACACACAGATTGATTTGCAGGATTTTAAAACACACCCTGGATTGGCTCCAGCGCCCTGATAAGAACTGCTCCACCAATATCTTTACTTGAGATATTTAGACAGAAGTGCATGCCATAAATGAAGTAAATATATGCTGTTCCAGGATCCATGTACATAGCTTCAGTACGAGATGTTTGTTTACCACCAAAAGAATGGCATGCCCTATCGGTCACTCCAAGGTACCCCTCTGTTTCAACAATACGACCACTCAAGATTTCGCCATCTTCTAAAGTACGATATAAATGTTTTCCAAGTAAACATTTAGCAAGTTCCGCCGCGTAGTGGTTATAAAATTCTCTACCAAGATGATTTCTGTGTGATTGTTTTATTGTTTGAACAAAGGTAATTTCAGATTCAKTTTCTGATGAATGTTGGTCATCCGACGTTTTGACTTTCCTTGATAGTATAGGTAATTCAGTGGTGCCAGTTGTTGTCTGACATGATTTTAAGTAGGGACTATAGTCTTTTTCATCAAAGTGRCGTTTGTATGTATCGTTTCGATAAGAAATTCTTGACGAACGTCTTTTTCTGCCTGTTGTTGAAAGCTTCGAGGAGTCTGCCATTTTGGATTTTGTAAACACTACACAGGAAACCCAAAGTTCTCATTAATGTTTTGTTTGACGATACATTGACTTCAGGCTGCAATTATCCCCTCTGWAGAGTAAAATATTCTCTCTAGAGTTCAAAGTGATAATTTTTAATCGAGTGGTTTTAAAAGAAAATATTTCTTTTTTGTAAGTTTGGGCTTCCTGTGGAATACATCCTGGCATTTCAATAACGTAGTGCGCACGTTTGGAGGGTTCTTGGCTCGTTCAGAAGTAAATTTGCCAAATTTTACTCCAAAAAACTCCAACATCATGTTGTTCTGTGTGGAACTGAAGCGTTGTTTCAATTGCAATTTGCCATACATTTGATGTGAAGGACAGAAAGTTCATCAAAGTAAGAAAATATTTGAATTTAAGCTAACTTTAAGTTAAGCTTTTCAGCTGCCGTGAGAAAATTAACTTAAACCGAGCTAAAAATTACGGCAAATGTTTGTGGCTTATGTATTCCTTCTTGCGATATTTGGGCTTATATTTTTGGACGTGGACCTTTTGTRCAAAGTCATTCACTGTTGGTTCCTCACAGTTCGCAAACATATCGTTGGTTCGTTCGCAAACGAGCAACATTTCTGCATGAGACATTGAAAAAGCTTTTATATATGCTTAATATGACAAATAACATGGAGCCCATTTACACGCCATTATTTTGGGTACGGCACTCCTGAATTTGGGTACGCGGGCCAACGAGACCAAAACTATTAGGAATTTATGCGGTAAAATGACATCAAAAGAAACATTTGTGCTTCCCAAATGAAAGATTGATTTATTTTCTCTTCATTTCAACGTTAAAGTAGGTTTTGTTTAGAGTAAAGGCACCGTTTACGCTAAGTTAACAGGGATGTCAACCCCAGAGCTTTATTGTCTAGTACATGGGGTTGGTCACGTGACTTTTTATTTCACAAGGCTCGGTCGGAACTGGGAACTAGGTAACTCATGTCAATATGGCGGACAAACATGGCGGCCAAGGGGACAAGGGGAATACTCTGACGAAGTCAAAGAAATGCAGCTAAAATATTGTTTTCTTGTATAATTTTGTCTTGGTTGAGTGTACTTTTTATTGCTATGTTGGTTTTATCCATTTCTTTTGGCAAATCATCAATGTCGTTACAAATTACAAC